TTCAAGATGGTTAAAAAAGAAAAAAAGACTGCTGTCATCGTTTGCCTTGGTTGTTGTTTTTGTTCCTGTTTCTGTGTAGCAAGATGCAGAATAGTGACCTTTGCTGAGTATTAACGGCGTTCAGGTCGGATGAATGCGACCTGGTTGTTCAGACATTTGAAAAGATGAGATTTGTTTGGGCCTGGGTCGCATGGAAACAATCAGATCTGTGTTGTTTAGACTGTTATTAAAAGATCATATCCAGGTCGCATATGGGCGAAAGAAAAAATAGATTTGGGTCACTTCGGCTGCTGCGTGAACGTAGGATTAGTTGTCAATCAACTGTTCAAATAGACATTTTACTAAAGTAAATATTGACCTGCTAAGTGATAGGTGTAATCCATGTGGATGGACTCAGGAATAAGAAATAATTAACTCGCAATCCATAATTGCTTCTCACTAGTCTGTGGGCCAGCGTTTACTTATTTAATAACCTTTTCTCCCTGAGATCAAATAGCAGAAATTAGATGACATTAAGTAAATACTAAAAAGGAATTTTTAGGTAAACTACATAGAGCCGTCTGACATCTTATTGTTTCTGGGCTGCATTAAAAAAACAGTACCAGTATACCCACTGCTCCAAGGACCACTACACCGCTGGCTGCACTTTATCACTAAACACTTAAACACTACGTGGCAATAAAGCTGTTTCTATATTTATTTCACTGAATTTAAGCATTTTAGCATAGTTTAGGTTGGAGATACTGGAATCGTGTATAAAACCTTATTATTTTGCATGTGCTCAATATTTTCCAAGACCTAAACTTGAAATACTATGAATTTTAAACTATAAAGAAAACTCAATTAAGCAAGTAGATAAATACAAAACTTCATGTAATATACGTTTATAGAAAGTGCAGAAAATCTATTTAGTGAATGTTTCTAATCAACTTGCATACATAAATTCAGTAAATAGCGACATATCCTGCACTATGCAGCAGCGGGACCCTGATGGGAACCTGTTTTCCATCCTCCTCACGCACAGACAGATCTGAAACCTCACCTGAGGGACGCTCCGCACCAGGCCGTAATGCTTAGCCAAGAACGCCAGCAGTTTGTTGGAGGGTCTGTCGTAGGCCAGCAGCTCCGGCTCCACATTCTGATGCTACAGCAGAGGACAGAAAGAGGCCAGTGGCGATAGTTAGACGTCAGAGCAGTGGATCTTGGTGCCCCCCCCATTGGATTAAAACAAAGACTGAGTGCCCCGCCCCCCAGCCAAACCTTTTTGACACGTGAACAAAGACCAGTCAATAGAAGTAAATCATATTACAATAAATTAAACTCAAATCAAAATATTCCCACTTTTATTAACTAAATAATTTTACTGTGTAACAGATCTAATGTGGCGCTCAGTACATTAAAATCTAAATTGGTCACTTATTGCACCTTCTGCTTGTTTATAAGAGTCGATGTCACTAGTGAATCGTGACAGTTCTATTCATTCCTTCACGCCTACTGTAATTACACACATCACCACTAGGGGGTGTCATTATCAACTAAAGGCCTGAACACTCTGAATATGTAAGAATTTTTAATCTCTGATCCGATTTTTTCTGATGTCACACTGACTTCGTATAGAGAGGCTCTGGCTAGACAGGGTGAGCAAATCTGCTCAGATGTTTTTCTCTTTACTCTCTGTGCAAATATTCACAAATAAAAAATAAAAATAATATGGCATTAGTGGACATGCTGGTGGAGAACGTCAGTCATCCAGGTCATAGTCTTTAAAAAAAAGTATTGAAAGAGCTTCCTAGACGGGAAGAGAAAACAAAGTCCAGTAAATTGTTTTTTAAAAATTTTTTGGAAGTCATATGTGGATGCACTCTTTATACTGTATATATCCCATGCATCTTCTTCTCTTTTTGAGTATTTCAGTAAAGAGTAGATTTCTCCACTGTGAGATCAATAAAGTCAATCAATCAATCAAAACAATTTCCAGCATTTGGCTTGAACAGTTTATGAAAAGTTATTTTTTTTTTAAAAGAAAAAAACACAGCTGCATTCTATAAAGCAAAGCCTCACTTAAGGAGTCTGTGCAGCATTTCAAAACGGGACAGATAGAGAATGTTCATATATTAAACACATAACGAGATCTATGTCTAAAGAAAAGAAAAACGCAACAATAAACTCTGTGGGACGGTTTCTATGGTGATTGAGAGGTGATTCTCAGAGAGATCTGGGAAGTTTATCAGAGTTTTTCTTTCTTTTTTCTTTCATAAAGAGGTGAGAGAGATATGCTGCTCTGACCTGCTCTGTCTGCTCCTCCTTATTCTGGTTTCTGTGAGGCTCAAAGAGGATCACTACTTTATCCTTTTTCTGTCCTCCTGAACTCCTATCATGGGGAAAGTTTTCTATTTTAATGTTTCATTCATTGTTTTTGCTCCAGTCTGTCCTGCTTACTATAAACGCTACATGTGACTCCACACCGACTCTTTTTTCCCCCAAAGCGGATGTGTTTTACTTTGTCTCTCTTCCTGTCAGACCCATGAATTTGCTGCTGAATTGCTGCGTAGTCCTACTAAAATCGACCTGGGCTCTATCTCAGTCGGAGCTACACTGCCCCCTACAGGAAATCGTGTCGGGTGTGATCATCCCCACAATCAAAACTCCAGTCAACATTTTATCAGCAGACTTTCCTTTTTAAACATCGAAAAGTTTAACCTGCAGCATGTAATTGAACAGCTCCAGCCCATAGCCATGTCTCTGTAGGGTTTCTGCAACGTAGAAATCCAAAACACACAGCGGCTCTGCTTCAACGTGCACACCATTTCGATCCTGAAAGAAAATGCATTTAAGCCCATATGGAGGACTGGGATTTGAAAGAGCAAAATGACTAACAGGACTTAAAACAGCCCCAGACTCACCAGCAGAAACAGCTTCTTGTAGCCGACCTTCAGAAATCCAACAACCAGACCACGCCCTCTGTGTGTAGAGAACAGGAGAGAGCTGCTATCAGCGCAGAGCAACACGCTAGGAGGGGCCTGGTTCCAGCTGTCCACAGAACCACACTTTGCTTAATAGGAGAATATCAAAATAAATCATGTGGGGAAAAATAAACATGAGCCTCCTTTACATTTCCAGATTAAGGAGAATAATCGCATAATATGATTTAAAGGAAAAGTCCGGTCGTATGCAGAATTCTAAAATCTAAAAGTACTTTAAGTACGAAATTATTCCATCCTGTTCAATAAATGATCAGTGTTTTTAATTCAGAGTAATTTTCATGTGAATGTGCT